CCTTTTGTCATATTCCGATTATCCTCTGTCGTTGGTGGGGCTTCTTCATGCCGCAGCAATTGCCCACCGCTCTTGTGGATTTGTTTTGTCCCCACCATTGTTTGGGGGAGAAAGTCATGTGGTGATGTTTCCGTTTGAACCAGCTATCTTGTGTACTGCAAGTCCAGAAGTCCCGGGAAACCCCTCCGTGCATGTCGCGGTAGATGAGACGTGTTATTCGATGTTTCTTACCTGTGAAAGAACGTTTGGCATTCTGTGGCCGCGAGCAGTCCGTTGTTCGCACGTCCCGAGACCAATGTGAGAACAACACTGTCGGCGGCGACGACGACATTGACAACGACCACATTAACAACAACAACAACAACAACAACAACAACAACAACAACAACAACAATAACCACAATAGCAACAACATTGCGACAACAACAGCTATTATGAACTAAAACTTTCAGGAGTATCGGTGGACGGTGCGAGCGCTACAGATTGCTCAGCAGCCACAGGCAACCCGAGTCGGCGTCCTTGGGCGTTCCACGGGACAGGAGTCAAGGTAACCTGGGTTTGCTGTATTGTTGCTGTTGTTGCTGTTGATACTGTTTTTTCTGCTGCTGCTGTTGATGGTGGTGGTGTTGGGTGTCGGTGCTGCTGCAGTTGCAGCTGCTAGTGCTGGTGTTATTGCCCTGGTGTTTTTTAGTGCATACCTCATTTGGGTTTGCCCAAGCTGATGCCACAAGAGTCAGAGTCAGTGCGTGGTGGGGATTGGGAAAACAACATCGTAGACGATAACTGCTCTACTGTTTCCAATACGGACGGGAAACGAAGATGGTTGCCTCTCGGCGGTTCCCATCACCATCCAATAAAACATTGCGGCAACAAGTGTGAGCCCTGAGTGTATTGCATCGTGTACGATGTGGTTCTTTTGGAAGAGTTTAATTGGCCGAAAAGGATATTGTTGCCGACCAGCGCCCTGCATGACATAACGGAGGCACATCTAACCGGAACCTCATACTGTGCACTTTTCCGCCGTTATACATGCTTCTCCAAAGTAAATCGCGAAATTATTATGACCTGTTGGTTCGCGTTCACAAGAAGAAAATCCAGCATGCCCGCCATCCTCCCTGCCAGGTTGTTGGAGGACAGGATATCCACGTGCGACCTGTAGCTCGCGAGCACTTCAGCCGGAAGACCATGGTACCGGCCACTTCGCCGGCCCTGCTCCTGCTGTGCGGCGACATGCGGTGCTACCGCCTGCTTGAAACCCCGCTCGATGCTCACCTCAAGGTCAGTTATCAATGTGTCGTCAATCTAGACTTCTTCGTAGTCCCTATTGCCCGCTCTAGTGCCTTTGCACCCAGCCGACCTCGCAAGCCCGGTAGATGGGTGTCTCGTGTTTAGTCGTTGTGCGGCCATAGCCTGGGTGCCACCCCCCGCTGAGGTCCTCGTGGGCGTCGATCTCTAGTCCCGTGCACCTTTGCTATGTCAGGCCTTGTCTGTGGCGAGAATGGTAACCATCGTGCCAGAATTCTATCGAAATCAGTGAATTGTTGCTGTTGCTGTTGCTTTTACTTTTGTTCTTGCTGCTGCTGCTGCTGCTGCTCCTGTGGTGTCGTGTTTTTGGCACGTGTTGTTGTCTGTACGTTCAAACGTCGTGTCGACACCAGCAACCTGTTGCCACAAGCGAATCCCAAAATACGGAGTACATATTTGAAATTGAACATTTTTGGCAGGGTGTTCTTCAGCGAGAGTTTTCCTGCTGAAAAAACTACAGCACGTTCTTCATAACGCTTGCGCAAAGAATATGAACGTGCCACTTCTTATTGATACTGGTCAATTTTTAGAAATTGTGAAATCTTTGCGTCGGGCGCAGATCGAAATTCACATTTGCGGACGCATACACGCATATTGGCAAGAGGCATCGAATGCGGTATGTACATGCATACACCTGGCGACGAGCATATCAACCGCTGCAGAGACCAGCACAGCGTAGAGAGGGCGTGATACATAAAGAGTGCAGCAAGCGCACCACTTGCCCACCATCACACTCTCAAGCATCTGAAGCCTGCAGAACTTCCGCAGCGGAGTGAGCAGTCTACATGGCGATCAGGCACCAGAAGGCAGTTGACATGAACTTGAATTTGTGGCACGGTAGCCACAGCAACAACAGCTGGCAGACAGCAGCGGCTCAAGCAACCTGAACCAATCGTGGGCAATCATCTTGAGGATTCTCTCGATCCGTGTCCATGCGGCAAGGGCGTGAGCGATGCGACCGTCGGATGGTTTGTGAAAGTGAAGTGTACGCATGTTGTGTCGTGTGTGTATGATTGCGCAGCAAGCTGCTGGCGCTCTGTCTCTCAACGGAGCAGTTGTACAACATGTAGTTGTTGGAACTCGCAGCAGCAACAGCCCGCTAGAGGCACCTTTGGCGCATATCACGGCGCAGGGCGTACAGGCTCGGCCCCTGCTGTGTTTGATATCTGGCCTCGGATCTGTGGAGCTCCGACGTGGTCGGAGTGTCCGTTCGAGGGGTTCCGTGACTGTCCTATTTAACAAATTTGGCTTGCAAATTTGGCTTGCAAATGTTCGTATATGGCCAATTTAGCGATATTATTTGGCAATTTTTCGGTCGGAGAAACCTTAAATTCCCCGAACTGGTGGCTAGTGGTCATATCCCGCTCTGCGCAAGCAGTCCTCTGTTTCAACATACAACCAACGAGCAGCTTCATCGAATGAGCTATATTCGCTGGTTGCCCGTCAATGCATGCTGATTACAGGACACACTCATTGTGCGTCGAATCGGGTTGCTTCTGAAGTATTTCCCACCCACGTCTCCTTTACCCCAGTCAACCCGATGGTTTTGGTCGTGCTTCTTTGAGGAACTGTTAAACCGTCTGGAAAGAGATACCACGTGGTCAGCGGAAATATGGCTTCGGTAAGCAATTAAAGACTACGCCCACGCCCACCCTTTGATCGGTCTCAGCTGTCGCTCTCTCCGCCGCCGCCGGGGGCGACGGCTGCGATTCGCCGAACTTCCCTGCTTCGCGAACGGGTCAGGGCGGCCGGCCGGAGGTGCTACAGCGCGGTGCTGGTCATGTCTTTGTTAGCGGCAGCGATCGGGGGCCTTCGCTTGTTGCTGGCCGACGGTTCGAGGGGCGACTGGGCGCTCTACCTGTTCGTGGTTCCTGGCCAGGTGTGTGTCCTTGGCCGTTGGCATTCACCAACAAGCCGTCCGAACTCTGCCCAGGACGTTCACGGCATTTGTACGGTTCTCTGCTCGCAGAGAAGCCCTTTGCAGTTGTTCTTCGTCATGATGCGATACCACGCGTCAGGCGTGATGGGAAATTATTAGATAGTTGTTTGGCGCAGGTATACACGCTCGTGTGCACAACTGCCACATGCAGTGGCTACTGGAATGTCTTCACGATGTTTCTTTAAACAGAGAGGAGGGAAGCATGAAAGACGGAGCTCAGAGAGTTTGTGCAACACGGCGTAGGTCCCAACATGCCTAGATAGCCCCGGTGACTGGGTGAATACAACAGGTGGTGTCAAGGACACCAATATCGAATTCGCGATGAAATGTGTATTCGTTGCCGCCGGGAGGTCCAACCGCGTGTGCTCTGCACGAATGGAAGCATGTATCAATCTATGTAGCTTGTAGGATATACTGAGTCAGCAAGCGCGGGGTGTGTTCACGCAAGGCAGTCCTTTGCGAAGGGTGTGCAGACGGAATGGGCATTTTCGTTCTGATTGTTTTGGCCCCGGCGGGCGGGCGAGTTCCTGCCCTTATTGTCCATGCAGCTTTGGCTGTAAGCAGCTGTATCAGGCCGTTGCGATTCTGGTGCTTTCAATTATGCACTGACTAGCAGGGAAGTGCGGGTGACTCTCATTCTCCCCCTTAGCATCCTGTGCCTACGTTGGCAGTCCGTCCTTCCTTGCTGGTGTCTGTCTTCTGGCCATGGGAGGAGTTTCCGACCTTTACTGCCCCTGAATAGGGGTGCCACAGTTGTGCCGATGTACGTCAGCCAAGTTAATCATCGAAAAAGCAAGAATCAGCATTGCTGCCTAAAAGTAGGGGCCTTTTATCTTGTTTTGCCGTTTGACCGGAACAAGATAGCAGCCACTTTTCGACCAGCGTTGACGTCTGTGCCCTCCCTCCAGTATCCTATCCCTACTCCAAGTGTCTCTATCCCAAACCCTTTCCAAATCGTCGATTGTCTCTCACCCTAACTCTTTCCTTTTTGCACTCGGTTGGACCCCACGTTCTACGGGTCCTACCCTGCGTGTCAGGTCGCCGTGTGCCTCCTGCCCATGTCTCTGCCAATCTACGTCGCCGCCGGGGAAGCCGTGGCGACGGCACGCGTTCTGGCCTTCCTTGAGCTAACACTCAGGCGTAACAGGTTTGACCGCTCACGGGGGGTATATGTTGTGAACGTCAATATGAGCGAAGGATGTCTACCCAATCAATCCAGTGTCGGGGGTTCTATCGGTGTGCGGGCTTAGAAAGGTACACACTTGGTTGATGGTAATGTTGTGAGCGCACGTGGCCTGTTGTATTCTGAGCCCATTGGAGTGTTGGTGGTCACTGCCGCGTTGTGGGTTGTGTTCTATTCATTTTGATAAGTCATGAAGATCGCTGGCTGAGGTCAACACGCAGGAACCTATGTAGCTGATCTCTCGTTGGTAACACTAGTAGTACATTCCGTGCGTGAAACGGCCTGTCGTGGCTAGCTCTGTGTCACGAGGCGTTTTCACTGCCTGCCATCGATGAAGGTGCACGTTCCACAACATGCAATCTCTCGCTTGGATTGTTGACATCACCTCAGCGCTCCTCTCTTGACGAAACGCCAGGGATGGCTCTGTTACGGTAGTATGCCGCGGCCAGACGAATCCGCAGTGCAGAACCGTTTCCCCTTTCAAGGAACGTACATCTCAATCAACATTTCGCATCGCCATTCGTCACCTGTCTTACGCCCCCCCCCAACCCCCGCGGGTTCACCGTGAAATTCATGGAAATCATTAGGGAAGCGAAAGGGAGCGCCGCCGCAGGCGCCGGTGCTGCCGGTGGGATGAAATTTCAATCATCAGGAGAACCGGACCCGGAAGAGATCGTGGACGAGTTCGATTTGATGGACGCCGAGGAACGCGAAGAGGTGTTCTCCGGAACGTCTCACACCGTGTCGTGGCGGAAGGCTCGGGCCTACCTGTGTGCCGTCCTAACCGCGAGGTGATGTACAGTCAAAAGTATCAATATGCGTGTTTTCGCATTTACCCCGTACCGTTTCCTGGTCGGTGGTTTTGAAGATACCAAAGTACGTTTCCATGGCTCTCCACAGGCAAGCCTCGAAATGAGTCTGGAGCAATTGGTTGAAGGCTCAGAAGCCCCTCCCAACCCTTCGTGCAACGATATGGAATTAACGGGTACAGAAATGAAGCAGCTGCTGAATTTGTTGCATGTTTCACTGTCTCGGGCCCAGATACCGTGGGGGTTTTCGAATGACACGGTAATACATGCTTTTCCATGCAACGCGACAGCTATTAGAGCCTTGACGTAGTCGTGCCTCGCTCGTCGCAAGAGGTTCAACTGTGGGAGCCCATTTTTAGTAGCCGAAGCATTCGGAGAGAGGGAGGCACGGATCAGCTGCTTTGCATCAACAGACGCCGGCCTATCTATCTCAAGGTCAGAAGTTTCTGTCCTCGAACCTTGCCCTCAGTTACACGGAACTACGCGCGCGCGTTTATTTCTACCCGCCCCCGTTTTCAGGTGGCGATGCGGGACCAAGAGTCGAGTGTACCGCCACCGTCGTTCACAGGATGCGAGGACGCCGGCATTGGCATCGCCGGCAGCGGCACCCGCCACGAACGCTGTGCGCCCAGCGGATTCTTCCGGCCCGGAGCCTAGCGACATTGAAGCCGGGCGCGCCGCAGGGGAAGCATGTCGAAGGTCAGCCGAGCCCAGTCCCGGAGAGCCTGCTGCGAGAAGCAGCGACCAAGGCCGGGTGACCTCGAGCGATGTCAAGTCTGGAAGTAGGGATCAGGGTTTCATTCCATTCGCCTCATGGCGGCGGCGGCGGCGGTCTGGTGGTGCGGGGTCGGGATGGAATAGTAGTGGTTTGATGGACTGGAGTGTGGCGCGGTGGCGTAATCTGTGTACTCGCGGCGGGACGGCGGCTGCCGGGGAACAACAGGATGACGTCGATGCCGGTGGGGGCAGTGAGTGAAAATTATTCTGTCCTGTTCGTTCGCATTTCTTCGGGTAGCTGAGGTACTCCATCAATGTTTGATGACTATTCTCCTTGAGTTTCCACCTCACCGACCTAGCCCCCAAACTAAGCCGCCAGCGACGAACGGCAGCGAACTTCCCCTTAGGATGCTGTGGTGGTTGTCTTTTGCATTGCGGAACATTCTCGCCTCTGTTCGATAGCCCGCAGGCACCGATTCCTAGACGTGGCGGCACCTCTGCGCGCTTGTAGGGTACTCAAAGAAACCCTTCAAGGGAATGAACGACACAGTTACTACGAGAATGTGATGAGGAACGGCTAACATCCGTCAACGGTGCCTGATTCTGGGCAATTTTCTACTTCGTTAACCCTGGGCCTAGTTTCCTCTCACGAACGTCGCAAATGCTTTTCTTGCACTATTCTCCTCAGGGGGACAACAACACCAGACGCTACGGCAGCACCGGCGACAGCGGCGCCGAAAGCAGTGGTGTCAGGATAGCTTCTTGCCCGTGCCGATGTTGGGGTGCGGTCTAGTCGAGCGCCTCGGTGCCGTCACGACGCTTTGCATGCTGGACGAGGACACGGTATGCGAGCCAACCTCAGCCATCAAGGAGGTTTTCCTGGTAGACTCCAAGGTGTGTACGTGGGCAATATTGTTGATGTTGTTGTTGGTGTTGTTGTTGTTGATGATGATGATAACTTGCGGTGATTATGGTGCTGTTGTTGTTGTTGTTGTTGTTGTTGTTGGTGTTGATGTTGGTGTTGGTGTTGGTGTTGTTTTCCGGGATCTGCTGCTGTAGCTGGCGCTGTTGTGCGGCAGTCTGTTTTTTTTTTTCCGCTGCGGTTGTCAACTCCCGCTGCTAGAGCCTGTTCTGACCTCTAGGCGCACGTCGCACGCACGAAAAAACGACGCTGTTCCGTCACCACGAAAGCTATTGAACTACGTTTTGCGCTGATTCCTGGAGAGACACGCGCGGGCGGGACAATGACACCGGTGGCTGTAGCAGGACCACCTTAAGCGGCAGAGAGATGGCACCTCCCCTTCGACCCACAAGCTCAATTTTCTCACAACCAAGGGGCTGCAGAGAGATCCCGATACGTCTTCCGTCGACGAGATGTTGCCGAACCCAACATTTTTGGTACTGGCACAAGCTTTGCTGTGGAGCAATCGGTCCAGGGTGTGCTATATTGTATCACCTACGGTATCCTCGTCCTTGGCCTACCTTTCCGCACACATTTCGTAACGAGCATCTATGGGCTTTCCAAACGAAGTTATATTAAGCAGTTGTTCAAACCGCTTTGGCATTACTTTGGAATTTGGTCAAGCAGGCCAACGACGCCGGTGTCAGCACTACCGGGACCGTCCTGGACATGCACACCCAGCAGGGCAAGAAAGGGGTTCGCTTCGAAGACCCGCACTGGTGGACCCACCTCCCTGCCCTCAAGCCTATCGGCCTTACCTGCTTGCTTGCCGAGAAGAATTCGGAGGTAAGAGTTTGGATTCCTCTCACAAAGTTCAGAACAAAGTTTGCCCTTGCAAACTCCCTGCCCCCCGGCTTTGTACATCGGCAAGTGAGATTTTCTGCAGCTGGTTGTCGTGCAGGGTTTGTGAAACCGCCTTTTGCAGAGCCGTTTCGGCTGTCAATGGGCGTCTGGTTTCACGCTTGTGCTTCTTCAGCGAGATCAGGTGTTGTACGCTGAAGAGTCAGCAGAAAGGGGGGGGTACTAAACAGAAATCGGGGCGTTTTGTTTCATTGCGTATATGCCGACAGCGGTGGCGACAATGATAACGGAAAGAAAAGCGACGAAAATGACAACAGGACCAGCAGCAAACACCAACAGCTAGCGTCATCGTTTTCTGTAGAAAGGCAGCAGTCACGACAGCGTCCGTCTTTATCCTGCAACGCATGTAAGAGAATGTCATCGAAAGTGAAGCTAAGCAGCAACCAACGTGAGTCGTCAGTCTCTACCCGAGAGCCCAGACCTTGTTGCGTAGGGTTTGTCTCTGTCCCGTCCTCGCTCATCTGCGCGTTCATTAGATTCCGATCACGTTTTGTAGGTATGATGTTGGTGCTGTTTTGCGTGTCGTTATGTCTTGGGGGAGCCTCAACCAACCAAGACCGTGTCGTCGCAACGTAAAGGTTTGCAATCGCCCACGCTATGAAAGAGCGACAGCAGGGTATTGGCAAAGCAATGGCTTCTGCCCGGAGAGTGAACCGCACTTGCTCTTGCAGCTCGATCTTGGCCCCTTTCATCTCTTTTTTTTCTGAACCGATTTCCGGTATGACAACCCCGGCAGCAGGAGGAATTCCGTACTCAGCAGCCCCGTACTCGGCTGTCCACGTAGTTCTTGCTCGGATACCCCAGTATTTAACGGCATGGCAAAATCGTTTTTTTCCCGTAAGCCTGGGGTTGTTTTGTCTGCGCCTTTGCCTACGCATTTAGCAACCTGCCCTTGTCTTCTGCATCTATTTCTGGTACAGCAACCTCGGCAGCAATTCAAGAGGAGATCCGTTCCCAGCAGCCCTGATCTTGCCGAAGGCCGTTCCACTCAGTCTACCCAAACGTGAGATGTCCCACATACGTATTTCATGCACATACGTCGTTTTTTTTTTTCGGATTTGTGGGTGCTATGGTGTCCTTTCCAAAGGCGAGACGGCCATGTATCCGTTTGGGTCTGCATCACGAGCATTCTCTATTGCAGTGTACGCGAGAGACGATCGGTGTTTCCTACGGTACTTGAGAGCCACCGGCTGGGGAAGGAAACCTTGAACTATTCCCATCGAGCAATGGGATAGAAATTTATTGTATAATCGTTGCCGGGTAATTAAGTCCCACGGCTGGCGATAATGTTGGGGGCCACTTGGGGGAGGACCGCTTGCCTTGGAAATGAGCGGAATTTGATCGCTTGCTTCTTCGAAATCATTTTCTTACGAAGCTCTTCGAACCGTCCCGTTTCGTTTCGTGGACCAGCACATTTTTACTTGAACAGAACGAAAACACACACACACTACAGACTTATATTCGCCCCCAACATCGCGCCCGACATTCTACTCTATTTCGGTGCATCATTGGGCTGTGATGCAGCTCGCAGAACTCCCCGTGCCCGGCATTGTTGGACCACGTGCGGGACGACCAGCCGATGGAACACCTCGCGGACCTGTCCGAGGCGATCGGCTTCTGCGCTGCGGACAGGTGAGGCAGGGAGAACCCAAGCTCATATGTGTCCCAATAAGTAAATATGCATGTGGGCATTCGGTGTGGGAATGAGATAAACCCCGGCTAATTGTCCACCACAGTGATGATGCAAGTGGACAGCGTGGTGGCTGCATGTGGAGAAATCGCGGCTAATTTTGAACCAAGGTGAGGATCTATGCGGGCAGTTTGTGGTGACTCTGCGTGGGAATGACTGACGAGGAGCGAGACCCTTCACCCCTGTCGAAAAGGGAATCACAAGGGATGTGGGTGGCGAGCATTGAGTAGGCCGTAGCTTGTCCCGGTTTCTAGCTCGAAGTCCCAGACCACAACTCCGAATCTAGACGATCTCGCGGTCGGTCCGTATGCCATGTGCGATTCCTACCTCACGTGCGCATACAGCAGTTTGCCCACGTGTTGGTGATGTTTCCGTGGTGCGGATGAAGATATTTGTTTGATGTAACATCGTCTATTTTCAAGCATGCAATGTGTGCGCGTCTCACGAACCCTTCAGGCCTCCCCCACACGTGTAAATCCGTGGGATGTTCTCCACCTTCCTCAATCTGGGGCGTAGCGTTTGACGTTGTGAAAACCCCGAGTTTTTCCATTGACTCCTCCAACACACCCTTGCTTTCCATTTCAAAACTCTACCCCATTTTTATTTTTGCCGTCTTCGGTTTGTTCGATTTGAAGGGGGATGTTTCGCGAGAGGCGGCGCATCCACGTCATCAACCCCAAGCTGACGGCAAGCAGGGCGACGGAAGACACGCACGCGCAAGGCGAGACAATGACAAGAAGAAGAGACAGGAGATAACTCTCTTGTTCGTCTCGCTTCGTGACAAGCGCCCTTCCCACTAAATATAGTACTACTGCTAACGTAAAATGTGAACAGTAATAACGGTTCTACTGGGATTCAGATAGAACGATTGCATCCTTTGGTGGAGCAAATAAAAGTGAAGCTGCGTTTTTGTGAGGTCCACGCGTTCGACGTACCGATGCTGGCAACATGTTGTAGCCAGTTTAATTCACTACCAAGAGCAAACTGGTGTTCGTTCCTTCCCCTCGTCTTCTAAGCTGCCAACGTCATGGGCATCGGGGTCGGGATAGATTAGACAAGACCGCCCTTTTGATCGAACGACGTTTTTCGAAGTACATCATGTTTCTGCCTTGATGAGCGCTGTCCATTGTGCCTTGCGTATTTTACCAGGGCAAGACGAATCCCGAAGACGGGGCACGATTCAGCCGCACCTGACGAGCGTCATGGCTCAAGAACGCCGGTCGGGCGCTCTGCAGCTGCTCAGCCGAGGTAATGCCGCACGTGTGTTGATTTTTCACAACTGGGCAACTATGGAATGAATATGTCTCATGAATGAGAGAGTTTGCAACGGCGATGGTGTGGTGACATACACCGCAAAAGATCCATCTGGAGCTTGCCTGCGGACAGCTGTTTGCCCGGATTTTCTCGAGTAACGCAGGAGGGCAAACAGCGGACGTTTGTAGTGTAGTTGTACACCAAACCTCGTCTAACAACCTTTCTGAATGACTCATGAGTTGCGTGTGTCGTTGTCTTGTCGTTCAATACACCATCGTCGTTTCGTGTCCGCGGGTCTCCGGAGGATCGCTTTTCCTTTCCAGATGGTGGCTTGGTTAGCCCAACACGCTCATGTTTGGTAACTGTAGCCTTTCTGGCATGCGATTGTCCCGACCCCGCCGACGATGTTGTTGTTGTTGTTGTTGTTGTTGTTGTTGTTGTTGTTGTTGTTGTTTCTCACATTAGCTCTAAAAAAAAAAAAAAAATTGGGAGCCCGTGGTCTCAAAACCCGGCATACACGACCCCACGAAGAAACAGAAAAAAATAGGGTACAAAAACCACTCGGAAGAGAAACAAAATGAACGATAGAAAGAAAGACCAGCTACCGCACCAAACGAGAAAGAGCGTCGAGGAGACCGATCAAAATACAATAAAAGGAGAACGGGGAACGCTTCCCACACCCGCCTACAACGCCGGAGGGTTCCGTGCCGGGTTCCCGCCGACCAGGCATCCCCCGCCCTGCACCACACCCCAGGGGGTGCAGCAAGACGGGGGGCGAAAAACAAACACATATATATTCCCACAAAAAAATAAAAAATCGAAGGACAACGTACACCAGTACCAGGTACTACAGCAGTGCAGTATGCACCAGCGCATTAGTGTAGGGTAGGCACCGCACCAAAGAGGCAGCAGAGGTGGCAGGCAGCCA